CTCTTGGCACGGCCAAGGATGAACATATGTTTAAGTGGGGGAGGAAGTAACGACCCGACCGATCGTTTGGAGCATTTGCACTTTGCTTGGTATTTTGAGGGCATGAGTAGCTCCGTATGATGTATTATGTATTATGTGAGTCGTCGGTTTTGGCTTTCAGGTTGTTCGGAATCGATTGGAAGAATGAATTTCATAGTTTAAGCCTTAAGTTGGAAGAGTTGACCAAGTTTGACATTTTAGCATTTGACCCCGGATTGGAGTTTTGATGGTTACATTAGGTCTGGATGGTGATTTTGGATACTTCTAGAAGGATTCGGCACTAAATGGTGAAAGTTAGAAATTTGAAGATTTGGAAAATTCATAAGTTTGACCGAAAGTTGACTTTGAGGATATCAGATTCGGATTGTGGTTCCGGGAAGTGGAATAGCTTCGTTATGTCATGTGAGACTTGTGTGCAAAATTTGGGTTCATTCCAGGTTGATTTGATATGTTTCGGCCTGAGTTTTAGAAATTGGAAGTTTAAAGTTCTTTAAATTTGAATTGATGTGTGATTCATCGTTTCGATGTTGTTATGCATGATTTGAGGCATCGACTAGGTCCATGTTATGTTATGGGACTTATTGGTATATTTGGATGGGGTCCCGAGGGGCTCAAGTGAGTTTTGGATGAGGTTCGGACCATTTTGTCGCATGTTGCATTTGGTTAAGGCTACTGGTTCTGGTGTGGCCGCATCTGTGGAGGATTGGTCGCAGAAGCAACTCCGCAAATGCGGGGTCTTCTCCGTCGAAGCGAACAAGGACAACTGGGCGTGAGAGTCGCAGGTGGGGGTGCATGGGCGCATCTGCGCGACCGTAGATGTAGTTCAAGTGTGCAGAAGCGCGATCGTAGAAGTGGGTAGGAGGCCGCGGAAGCGATGGTTGCTGGTTCAAGGGTTCTTCGCAATAGCGAAATAGTTACCGCATAAGCGGGGGTCACAGATGCGGCAGTATGATTACAAATGTGAAATTACTGGGCAGATTCTATATATTTCGAGGATTTGGTTCTTTTATCATATTTTGAGATTGGGGGCTCGGACTGAGACGATTTTTGAACCAATTCTCACCATATGAATTGGAGTAATTGTTCTCTACTTGGTTTTGATTTTATTTCATGGATCTATTTTCATTTTTGGCAATTAGTTGATGAATTTTAAAGAGGAATTGGGGAGTTTTGCCTAAAGTTTCATAAAGCGAGTTTTTGAGTTTTGAACACCGATTTGGAGTCAGATATGATTGGGTTGAATGGGTTGTTGGAGTTTTTGAGTTTAGTATGGTTGGACTCGTAATTGAATGGGTTGTTGGATTTTATAAGTTTCATTAGGTTCCGAGGCGCAGTCCTGGGTTTAGCGTTTTGGTCGATTTTGGGCTTTCGATTGAGGATTTGACCTTTATCATTTGGAATTGTTTCTTTAGGCTTTATTTAATGTTCTTGAGTTACTTTTGGTTAGTTTCGAGCCATTCAGAGGTCGGTACGCGTGGGATGGAATTCTTGGAGTATCGTTCGGCTTGCTCAACATTGGATTTTTCTTGTTCAAGGTAAGTAATACTTCTAAACTTGGTGATGGAGGTATGAAACCCTGAATCACGTGTTATATGTTTGATGTTGAGGTGAAGGCGTATGGGCGTGCATCGTAGTAACTGTGATTTAGTCGATTCCTTGGAACTGTGTAGCTATCTTATCTAAACATTTTGTTGTACTCTATGTGTTAGAGCAATTCAGCTATGATCCATGTTAGAAACCATGTCTAGGCTACATGCTTATCCTGTTGGGACCCACAGGTCATTTCTACCGTTGAGTTATCTACTTACATTGCAATTACATACTTAGTCATACACATTCATATGCATATCATATCTTAGTCTCGGCTACTATTTTTGGATACATCACATCATTATTGTTGGGCCGATTTCGTGACATTGTGTGCCCGGGAGACTGGAGAGATTGATGACTGAGCGAGGCCGAGGTCCTGATTGTGAGAATATTTATTTATGATGGGAGCGGGCTGCATGGTGATAAGTGGTGATTTTACTACTCATTCTAGTCTCTTTTCTTTAGATTTTGCGTCCTTTAATTATAATATGAGATCGTTTATGGTGTGTATTGTTAGATTTTAAGGTAAATGATTCCACGAAATTATTTGAATTAATTGAAGTGGAATTGAGCAAAAGAAAGTGGAAACAATCAAAACTCTTTAATGATTCCGCATCTGCGGAACACTGGTCGCTTTTGCGACCTCACATTTGCGTGGAAATGGTCTGTATTTGCTGAATTGAGCTACCTTCCCTTGGATTGCATCTGCAAGAGAAGAACCGCTTCTGGGGAGGTGCATCTGCGCGTGTATGCCCGCTTCAGCAGAGACAGTGTTTCTCATAATGGGCCGCTTTTGCGTGAGGCTATCCGCATCTGCGGAGCCAAACCTGCGAGGATCCTTCTGCAGGTGCGGTCAATGAGCTTCAGACCTGGGCAGACTTGGAAATTCACATCTCCTCAACTCCAAACCCGGAAATACACGATCTAGCAGATCTTTGGCAGATCTTTGGCTTATTTTCAGTCCTTAGACTAGAGAGAAACGAGTTTTGAAGCTAGGGTTCTTGCACACACATTTGGGTCTTGAAGATTTGAAGCTTTTGGTTTAGAATTTCTTACCCATTTATGTTCATTTCTACATTTCCTTGCTTTGAATTGTATATCTAACGGTGTAGTATTTTATCCAATACTTGAATGTTGTTTATGGAAATATTCATATTTAAAGTGTGGATTAAATATCTTGTTGTGCTTATGTATTGAACGATTTTTATTTATTATGAAATGAGTTATTGTTTCTTTAATTATTCATGTTCTTTAATATTTCCAAAGGGATTATCTAACTTTAGGACTCGCCCATTAACTTCGAATTAATTTTGGGAAAGATTATTTAGGGTTGGAAAAGATTAATTAACAAGAACTTGAGGCTTTAACCCTCATTTTATAGATTCTACCTAGGGATAGGATTGAACTACTTGTAGCCATATTTGGGTGTACTTAATCTCTTAATTGTTTTAGGGATAATTCAATTAGGAAGTCTTGTTAGTCTTTAGAAGAAGCTAATATATAATTATTACCCGAGGCTAATTAACATAAACTCGCTCATATTTATAAGATCGTGAAATACATTGGATCGTTACTTGAGTGTAATTCCACATGTATCCATACTTGTAGCCATTGATCATTTTACTTATTTTCTAGCTTAGTTTGCATTTTCGCATTTAGTTATAAATATTTTCTCAAAAATTATTCTAAGTGTTTGGCATTGCATAACAAGTGATAATTCTCTTACATGCCTAATCGCCTACATATTGTTCTCTATGGGATTCGACCTCGACTCATAGTTGGGTAAATTATATTGCATGCAACCGTGTCCATTTACTTTTTTAGTAGTGGATTTGGACGTCATCAAAATAGCAGATGTTATTGATTTATGCCATGATTGGCTTATTATAGCGCTTGGGCTGAAGGAGCCCCTTCGGAGTCTGTACATAACCCCAGTGAGCGCAGGAACCTACTGAGTGCAAGTGTGAGTGTCGAGTGATTGGGAGGACTGAGTGATTGGGAGGATTGAGTGACTGGGAGAACTGAGTGAATTGATACTATGAGAGTATGCATATGGTTTTATCACTGAGTTGCATTGCATTCAATATGCACACTTGACATGTAGGCATAAAGATGTATTTTCCTTATGCCATTTTAAAACGAAACATTTATTTGTTGAAAGCTTTTGGGAAAAATCACATTTTTACAAACTTACTCATATTTTGGTGATTTCGATAAAATATTTCGGTATTCACTTATATACTTAAAAAGTATGCCTAATTTCCGGAACTATGAAAGAGTTGAGCATTTTATTTCTGAGTTACTTCTCTTAGCATTACTATTATGTTATGAATTTTTGTTGGCTATTGGTGTTGAACTCCGACCTTTGTTCCAGTTCGTCACTACTTTCAACCTAAGGATAAGTTTGTTACTTATTGAGTACATGGGGTCGGTTGTACTCATACTACACTTCTGCACCTTGCGTGCATATGTTCGATGTTGATGTTACTGTGTATGATGGTAGCTGGATTTGAAGATGTACCTGCATTCTAGTTACAACTGCATCTTGTTCGTGGTAGCTCTAGACTTATGAAAATTTGTTTATGTACATTCAGTCAGATGATGTATTTATTTCATACTAGCTTTGTAAGCTCTAAATCTTAGAAGCTCATGGTTTGTACTACAAATCCTTGGGAAATTCTTTGTATATAAGTAGTTGTATTATTATTCTTTTCTTATTAATCCTCATTAAGTTGGAATCTTGTTAGTTGGCTTACCTAGCAGGTTGGGTTAGGTTCCATCATGACTAGTTGGAATTTGGGCCGTGACACAAGAAGAACATTACCGTTAATTGAGTAGCAAACATACATTGTTTCAAGGTTTAATCCCAACAAAACATTGCTATTAGACAAGTAAATGTGTGATTCAAAAACCTGTACCACTGTCACAACACTACTTGTCTAAAAATCTGGAACATGAACAAACATCATTTAGTCGAATAGTCATGCAAACAAAAAAGGATTTAAGTGTATATTACATTCATCATTTCTTGTACCCTACTCCTCCTTGCCCCTCCCCTTTCCTCTTCTAGCTTTAAGTTTACCAATCTTTCTCTCTTTCACACCCAATAGTTGAGCTGCTGTCATTACCTTTCGCTTCCAGGTAGTTCTCTTTGGGGAGTATGGCAGTTTTGTTGTTTGTGAGCTACCAGTGTGATCCCCTGTGAATTGTATCTTCCTAGACCCAGAATTTTGTTGATTCTTATGCTGAAGTCTAGTCTTAATATCAGAGACAACCTTAGGCCTCAAAACAGGGTCAGCATCTGCGCCAAAGTGAGCTTGAATAATTCTTCTTCTAGTCTAAATATTGTGACTTAGCATTTGAGTTGCCTGGGTGTACTAATTGTATTGCTGACTTGGCATCTGAGTGTATTGACTGTATTGCTGACTTGGCATTTAAGTGTACTAACTAGAGTGTTGACTGGACAGCTGACTTGGTTGGCTAGCCTGACTTTGCATTTGTTGGTCTTATACTTTAAAACCAGGATTAGGGACCATGAAAAATTCTAATTCTTAGTCTTGAGTTGTCTCAGTATGGTCTTACACATTCTTGGATTGTAAGTATAAAAAGTATATTGTAAGTATAAAAAACAGATTGTAAGTATAAAAAGCATATTGTAAGTATACCTTATTGGCTAATAGACATCTTCTTTTATTATGGTTTGACTTGCTACAAAACCACAAGTCTTTTGAAGACCGTTCCTAGAAGTTGACAATTCTCCTTGCCTTTTTCTAGCTTCATTCTTCTCTCTTGACCTTTTCACTTTAGGTCTACCAACCATCTTTGTTAATGATGGTGATTCCATGGCCTGGTTTGGCTAAACTTTACAGAATATTTTACCACTAACAGGTTGCAGTTTGTGCTGATACACCAACTGCCTAGCTTGTTTGGAATGCCACTAGGTTGGGTCGAGTTTCTTATAATTGAATGCCTTGATAGCATAAGCACTAGGGATTCCAAACAAGTTCCACAGTCTGCATGTGCACCTTTGTTGCTCCAGAATCACCATGTGCCTGTCTTCACCTTCACTTATTTCAAAACCCCTATCTCCATTGAAATTTTCCTTGCACTTTGAAGCCATCTCTCTGTAATCATTGTACAACTCCATTGCATATGGGTTATATTCATCTCTCCAACTGCTAACTTCATCTGCTCTATCCTTTAGGTGATTCATCACCTTCAATTATCAACCACTAAACAAGAAGTTAGTCAACAATAGACTATTTAACAAGCAGTTGTTAATCCTTCACTCTTATATCAGTTAGATAAATTAACAAGCAGTTAGTTAATAGTAGACAAATCAACAAATTAACAGTAGACCTCACCTTTACTCTTATATCCTCAAGCATTTTCACAATTGGCTTATGTCTAGCTTCAAGAATCCAAGAGTTGAAAAACTCTATAAAGTTATTGTCCACCATTGGGTTCTTATATTGGGTATTATAGTAAGCTCTACACCAGTTTACTGGAGGATATTTCATCAAGTCTCTGACAGCATCCTCAAATACTTCACCTAACTGTTTCAACATATCATTAAATTCTTCCTCATATGTGCTCCAAGAACACCACCATATTAATTTTTTCATCTCATCAGTCTTCCAATCCTTACTCCAGTTTATTTCAATATGCCTTGCACAATATCTGTGATATGATTATGGACATTCATTCCTTATAGCTCTAATAGACCCTACACATGAAGAAATATTACATTAACAAACTAAATAACATAATCTTGAAGAAAACAAATTCTGAGCATATGGTAACATACCTTCTGTATATCTGACATGAATGTATACCCTTCACCATCTTTAAAGTTCAAAGAAGCCTTCAAGTTCTCCATGAACGACTGCTATGTTATTTTTGTTTCCTTATCCACCACAACCAGAGCTAGTGGATACATATACTAGCTAGAATCTTGAGCAATAGCAATTAACAATATCCCTTGGTATTTGCCTTTTAAAAATGATCAATCTAGACCTATAAAAGGTCTGAAACCTGCTTTGAATCCACTCTTGAGGGACTGGAAGCAGATATACATCCTCCAAAATCTTTTCTTACCTTCCTCCATTGCATCCTTGGATATCTGTATCACCACATCAGCACCAGGGTTGGTTCTCTCAACTTTTGAGCATATGCCTCCAACTTGTTGTACTCATCTAAGTAACTACCCTTCAATTTCTCTAAAATCATTCTCTTCGCCCTTTTTAACTTTGAATCATTCACATTCAAACTAAATCTATCCTTTAAATCAACCTTCATCTCTTTAACTTTAAACTTAGGATTATTTTGAATCTTTCTATTAAAATAATGTTTTAAAGTAGCAGGAATAGCTCTTCTGTTCTCAAGAACTTCACAATTATATTCATGCCTCCAAGTTTTTATCTTTACCCATTGATCTCTGTCATACTTAGAAATAAGACATTTAAAGGGACACCCAGTCTGACACTTGTATCTAAGTCTTCTCCTATCACTCTTATCTACCTGAAGGCCCATCTTATTAGAAACCACATAAAAACCAATAACCTCCTTAGCTTCAACAAGATCTTTGAATGTCATACCTTTTTCCAATATTTTATACCTATCAAGTTGGTCAGTTACCTCAAACTTCTCCTGCCTCCTAAATAAACCTAGGGCATCACTATCATAATCATTATCAACACTTTCAATATCTGTATCATCTCCACTACTATTACAGTCAGTAGCTACTACAACAAGTACACTATTTGTATCAGTTTGCTGAGTAAATACATGAATATTTAGAGCATCATCTAGAAGGTCAACACCAAATAAATGTACATCAGTGAAACTATTATTAATTAAGGCTTGAAGCTTCCTAATCCCTTCATCCTCATCCAACAAAAATATTTCCCAGATGTGTCAATAAATAGTAACTGTTGTACCTCAACAAATTCTATTACTTCACTGTATTCTTTACACAAATCAATATAAGAGAGGTGGTCTACTTCATAACCATTCAACAGGTTCACGTCTTTCTTAGTATAAGATAGTGTAGGTTCCAATACCCACTCACCCCATAATTAAAATATAAGTTCACTTTATCCACCATCCTTCAGATAAAATCACATGAAACAATAATAAAAAAAACAAAATGGGACCACATCAGCAATATTAAAAGCTTAAACAATAAATATATAACGGATGATATGAAACCGCAACCATCTGTCACACCTCCTTTTTACCTACACCCCTCGGAAAGGAGTGTATAAGGGAGTTTTTTCCAACTTAAAGTGACGATCGAAATGAGATTATTTATTTATTAAAAATTAAGAGTCGTCACTTGGGAGATTTATGGTGTCCCAAGTCACCGGTTTAAAATCCCGAATCGAGGAAAGGTTGACTCTGTATTACAGTCCGCGAACACAGAAATCCGGGTAAGGAATTCTATTAACCCGGGAGAAGGTGTTAAGCATTCCCGAGTTCCATGGTTCTAGAACGGTCGCTCAACTGTTATATTTGGCCTATTTATCTGATTTTAAACACTTTTAAACCTATGTGCATTTTTAAAAACTTTAACCACTTTTAGTCATTTTTAGAAATATTGCAACGCTGTTAAAACACGTCTTGAACCACGTCACATAAATGAACCCGCAGTATTTGACATATTTTAACATTGTTGAAATTTAGATTTGGGTCACATAAATGCGCACCTGAATTTAGGAAGGTAATGTTATTAAATGACGCACCTAAAGTAACTATGCGTTAGCAACTTTGCGAGGGCCATGGAAATTTGCTAAATGGCATGCCTCGAATTCTAAGGATCAATACAATATTAATTAAATGAGAGCCATGCAATTGAGGTTTCATTTGGCATGGCGCGCCTCAAATTATTTCAAAAGATTGCACTCAACTGAAAACAAAACTACGGATGTTCATAATTTCCTAAGTATGCTCCTAACGACCGAATAATTAAAAGAGAAGCAACACAAAATTAACAGAATCTTTCTTGAGCACCAATTCCCCTTCATTATTAACGAAAGACCCATACCCAATTTTAAACCAACCACCCCCATGGCCCAAATTCAACTCTTTTACTGACATGACATTAAATTGATGTTCAAACTTGAGACCAAATTCGTGGGGTAGTAAACGAGCACGAACAAAACAAGATCAATAATTAACTAGAAGGAATTTGAAATGAAACCAAACAATAGTAGAATAATGAATGTAAAGAAACGGAAACCAATTCGTAAAACTTCGACGCCACACCATCGTGACAATCCAACCTTCTTTCTATCTCAAATATATATATAAACAATTACATCAACACAAGCATAGATGAAGATTAATTTTTGTAATAATGGAATAATACTGGGGTGCAGTAAATCAAATAAAGCAACTTCAATTGAAAACAAAACTTTGTCCTTCAGATACCACAGGCAAGCAAGGATCCATACAAGTCTTTCATTCAACCATAATAGAGGATCGATATAAACTAAAACTGAGAGAGGGGAAGAACCGACCTCTGTATTTCAAAAAACCCGACTTCACTATATGACCGAAAACAAAACCTCAATCGGAAACCGGCAACAACTTCGAACGGAAAACAACCCCGAACTTGAACCTCCCCGCAATTCCGATACTCGATGAACAGTGACGACCTCTAGTCGAATTCAGCTCCAAAGTCATTTTTAACTGAAATTCTTCCTTGAATACCAAGAAACAGAATCGAAAAGTGACAAACAAATACAAAAGTGGAAATTTATATTTATGATTTTTTCTGTCTTTTGTCCGTACTTCTGTCCGTTTCTATTTCTCTATCATATGGGTGTGCGTGTGTGATGGTCAGGCTGGTTTCAGGGGTGAATAGAGGGTTTGGGGTGAGGGATTTTTGGTTTGGTTGTTGATGAAGAAGATCTTAAGGGTTGTTTTAAGTCTGGTCGTTGGGTGGTTTGAAGGCGGAAATTCAGGGGTCAAAATGAAAAGGGTCGTTTGGTTGAATAACGGAACAGAACCGATGGGAAAAGGGGTGTGTTGAGGAAGATGGAATGCCGGCGGGGGGTCTCGATTGAAGGCTGCACTTAGTCTCTGATTTTCAGGCGTCCCTTTTTTTCACTTTTTGATTTTTTTAAGCATTAATTTATAGGTAGAGTCTAGGTTTAAGTGTATTTTTGTGTATTTTGCCCATTAGTCCCTAGGTCTTTTGTGTTAAGTCCTTAGGGTCTTCTTTATTTGTTTTGTTGTTCCAAATAAGAGTCTAGAAGGGTCCCTAGGCTTAATGGACTAATCCGAATTGGGCCAAGAATTGGGTTCTAAAACTCTTAAAATTATGATACAACACCTTAATTGACTCATTTTAAAGTAAGATAAAAATACTACCCCATGCCAAAGCTAACATGAAACTATTATATATTTTTTATTTTTAAAATTATATAAAGATAAAAATATGGCTCTATTTTTGTATTTTTTGAAAGATACATACTAAAATATTTTTTTATAATTTTCATTTTTCTTGTAATAAAATAAAGTAAAAGAGTAAAAAATAAGTTGAAATAGCTATATTAGGCCTAAATTAAATATTTACGTGCTAAAATGTGAAAAGTCTTGGGGAGGGTCAAAAATCACATGTTTACAGCTGCCCCTCTTTGATTGGAAACGCGAATCGTTTTCGGACAAAGAACGACTAGACAGGTATTTTGACCCGACCCTTATTTAAAGAAACCAAAACTAAAAGAAAAAATGGGAATGTGACCGAGCCCTGGTATTTGAGCTGCCTACATATCATTGGCTATAAAGGAATCAGGCCACGTGTAGTTCAGAGATGAGTGAGATGACGGAGTACCAAGGTGAAGAGCCGATCGAGTTGCTGTTCCGTCGAAGTTCCGGTCCGCGGTTCCTATTATTACATCAAAATCAAATGAAAAAGACTAACTAAACCTGTCAACTACGAGTTACAAGATTCCTATGTATAAGTCTTCTGAAGCTTGATCTTGAGTCTTGAATGGTTCTTCATGCAGACTTTGGATTTGAACCTTGACGCTTGCTAGTTGTAGGTGCTAGCTCGCTCTTCTTCAAATTTTCGGATCAAGAATGGACATGTAGTGCTTATGACCTCGGCCATGTCTTTAGCAGCCCACATCTTTCATAAACTTTTACATTTTGGATTAACTTCTTGCCCTTCTCTTTTTTCTTTATTGTGAATAACTTCTGTTGATCACCTCGGACTGCTGACTCGCATTTTTGCCGCGAGCTTCTTTTGTTGCTGACTTGAATTGCAATCTGAGATACTTTTCCTTTTCTTCAGGTGGACGCCTGATTGTTGAACTCGAACTGTATTCCCTTGCTCTCCAGGTGGGCGCCTGACTGCTGAACTTGAATTGTATTCCCATGCTCTTCAGGCGGGCTCCTAATTGCTAAACTTGAATGTATTCCTTGCTCTTCAGGCTGGCTCCTTACTTCAACAAAATAGACAAAAACAAAGAAAATTTTCTGCCCTCGTTTGGGTATCTGGGCACATATGTAGGTGTAGAACGAATCACATTACCAAATATCAATAAGAACTTGAAAACTAAAACTTGAATTGTACTCCCTTGTTCTCCAGGTGGGCTCCTGATTGCTGACTTGAAACGTATTCCCTACTCTTCAGGTGGGCTCTTGACTGCTGAACTTGAAATGTATTCCCTGCTCTCCAGGTGGGCTCCTGATTACTGAACTTGAAATGTATTCCCTGCTCTCCAGGTGGGCTCCTGACTATTGACTTGAAATGTATTCCCTGCTCTCCAGGAGGGCTCCTGACTGCTGACTTGAAATGTATTCCCTGCTCTCCAGGCGTGCTCCTGACTGCTGACTTAAAATGTATTCCCTGCTCTCCAGGTGAGCTCCTGACTGCTGACTTGAAATGTATTCCCTGCTCTCCAGGCGTGCTCCTGACTGCTGACTTAAAATGTATTCCCTGCTCTCCAGGTGAGCTCCTGACTGCTGACTTGAAATGTATTCCCTGCTCTCCAGGCGGGCTCCTGACTGCTGACTTGAAATATATTCCCTGCTCTTCAGGCGGACTCCTGACTGCTGACTTGAAATGTATTCCTTGCTCTCCAGGCAGGCTCCTGACAAGTGGGTACTTGATTTTAATAAAACAAAGAAAATTTTCTACCCCAGTTTGGTAACTGGGCACATATGTGAGTGTTAAACTGAATCATATTACCAAATATTACAAAGAAGTTGAAAGCTAGATCCCATTATCCAGGGGGTCCTGACAACTCTTAATTAAACGACAATTTTAAATCTAAGTTATATCTTCTAAAGGTGTGACTTCTGCTAAATCTTGTTATCTAAGAGGGTCTTAAACTACTCCCCATTATCCAGGAGGGCCCTAAAAATCAAAAGTCAAGTTTTATCTTAAGAGTGACAATTTCACGGCTAAATTATATTACTCTACACCAGAACTTACGCTAGATTTTGCTATCCAATGGGAATTTTAAAGCTAGGTCCCGTTATTCATGAGGGTCCTGAAAACTCCTAATTGAATCCTATCTCAAACATGTAAACTTTGAAGCCTACTTATGTTCCTTTGGGGCGCACTTATACTAGATCTTGCTACTCACAATTGTTTTGAATTTTAAACTAAATCTCATTTTCTAGGAGGGTCCTGAAAACTTTAAATTAAATCCCATTATCCAGGCGGGTCCTGAGAGTTTACGGTCAAACCTGTATAGTGCTTGCCTTTTCTTACGGTGGGTTTCTCCGAAACAAACCGAGATTTCCTGCCCCTGTTTCAAATCAAAGAAAAATCTTGTTAGCTTTAAAATATGGTGGTTGGTTTGTGGCCTTGACTTTGAGGATGGTTGCTCCTTCACTTCCCATGATAACTTTGATTTCCACTCGAAGACCTTGCTTGTTTATTAACTACTTTCTCTGTCACCCTTACCACGGAAAATACTTTTGATCCGTTCCAACCCAATACCCTTCATCTATTGCATTGACATGTACTAAACCTTTGTGTTTCTCATGAATCTTAAAGCACGACAATTGCCACCCAGTCGTCGCGCATGTCGTTTTTTCTTGACTTAAACCACTGGCCCTAGCCTTGAGGTCTGTTGCTCCTTCACTTGCCACGATAACTTTGATTTCTGCTAGGAGGACCTCGCTTGTCACTAATTAAACACCTTTTGTCAATCTTACCACAGAAAATACCTTTGATCCATTCACTAAACCCCCCCATCTTGTTGCATTGTTCATGAATTG